ATCATGTTGGATCGTTCTCTCCATTTTTTATTCTATCAGTTAGTATTAGCAGACACTAGTCTTGTTTGTGTGATCCCTTTGACTCTTAGACCTATCAGTGTGATCAATTGTGAACTGAAATTGATCACTTGGACTAGTGAGATGGCACTGGTACATGCAACCTTGATGGGATTGTATTGGGATCCCCTGGCACATTTCTAACTCCACCATTTGGAGCAAGTCCGAATGGGCATGTCCCAAATTGTACATCTCCTCCCTCTCTTATTCCCACTCTTATATTTAACAGGGATCACTAGAAAATAACACATTATATATATGTGTGATATAATATCACACACACACACATACACACACAAACTTATATAAAGAAAGAAACTGGTACTTCAAGCAGCCATATGGGACTCTGGTGCCAGGCTACACAGTTTGAATCACAGCTCTCCCTTTTAGTAACTGTCATCTTTATCAAGTTACTAATTCTTCTCCCTGTCCCAGTCTCCCATTTTGTAAAATGATGATGATAATATTATTAATACTTCAATGAAGATTGTGCAAGATTACTGATTGCAGACACATGATTCCCAAAGCTGATTCAGGCAGAAATGGATTGACTGGTCATGACTGTCTCTCCCCTTTACTAGTACACAGCCACACAGTTGCCGCAGCCTCAGGGAGACCAGGGCATGTACGTCACTACTCTGTGACCTTGCATTTGGTTATTTGTCTTGCTTTCGTGAATAAGAGAATAAAGAAATAACAGAAGGAGAAACGGAATTATACATTTGGAAAGATATAACAGAAGAAATAGAATTACCCATTGAGGATTTCTCTGTGGAGCTTCTGCCATTTCCATGAGGACATATACCAGTTAGCTAATATTTCTTCTGCCTGTGTTTCAGTAGGAAGCATTCCCAAAGCGCAGATCTTTAGCATGAAAAAGAGTCCCCCATCCAATTGAGAGGTAGAAGATATGAACTTCTATTAAGATGGCAGCCACAAAGATCTCATATGATAGATAACACAGCATCTCTCTCTCACTGCTAAATTTTCTATACTTAATGATAAAATCTGAAGATCAGAGCAGGCACTTAACCTAAGCAGTTAAGACATCCACATTCCACAGCTGAGAGCCTGAATTTGTATCTCTGGCTCCTGATTCCAGATTCCTGCAAATGCAGGCCTTGGGAGGCAGCAGCAATGGCTCCAGTAATAATTCTTCTCCCACCCATATGGAAGACCAGAATTGCATTCCTGGCTTCCAGGCTCAGCCTAGGCCCAGCTCCAGCCATTGTGGTTATTTGGGCAGTGAAATCCTAATAGAAGGGATTTATTTATCTATATACCATCCACCTATCTATCATCTACCTAATCTGTCTTATCTATCTATATCTATCTCTATCTCCCTTTCAAATATTTTTTGAAAGCTAAAGATCATTCTTCATTAAAACAATGTTAATATTTCAAGAATCAGATTCATGATGAATTTGGAGTAATTTGGAAAGTATTATCAATTAATTATGCTTTATATTTAGGGATGGAATCAATCTGCTTTCAGAATTCTTGAGACTAAACTATGAATTACACACATGAATCAAAGGAAATCCTGTGAGATAAAATGTGGAAGCCAAGATCACCCAAAAATTATTTCTAGAGTAAGGTTTGTGAAGGTTTTGATGATATAAAGCAAGAAGTGGCTTACCTAGAACTGCCTGCTGACTGCTGCCTAGTCTGTCAACTATTTTTTTTTTATATTTTATAAAAAATATCAACCTTTTTTTATATCAACCTTTGGGAGATTAGATTATTATGCAAGGAAAACTTCTGAGTCTTACAGAAATTCATTAGAACTAATAATGTCAATAAAAATTAAATATGAACATATAGATTTTACTCAACTGTCAAAATATAAGCATTGTATTTAGAAAAACAAAATAGAATATAAATCTAAATTTTAGAGTTTGTGAATCCAAAATATTTTATCAACACTACTCTCTCAAACATTCTGTACTACTACATCTGTGAACGGCAGGTCACATCTTACCCATACACAATGCAGGGAAGCCCACTGAAACCTCCTGGGGCACTGTTAATTATCAATATCACTTGTTTGGAATTAACAAACCCAATTTTTTAACTTTTCATTTCATTTTAGAATTGTTTATAATTTACAAAACAAAACCTGTGAAGTAGTACAAAGAGTTCCCATATACCCTACACCCAGTTTCCCCTATTACTAACATCTTATGTTAAAATGGTAAGAATGAAAATAGAAAAGTCTTCTCAAAGTGTAGAAAGATTATTGTTGTGGATAGAGAATACCGGTGTTCTATCTTGTTTTAAAAGAACGAGGTATCCAGTCACAATCTGAAGTCTCCACACAGTAGAGTTGCCTTGTATTACTTTTCTTTCACGTTACAGAAAGCTTCCCTGTGCCAGCTAAACTTGGATCTGATCCTGCCAGATCCAAGTTCACACAGCAACACAACTTCGCTGGCACAAAAGTTTTGCATTTGGAACAATGGCTGGTTGAAGACAATGAGATGAGTACAATGCATTTCCCACAAAAGCACACCACTTCTGTCAGTATTCAGGGCTACCAGAAAGGTTATGTTTGCTGCTGCTCTCTGCTGTCCTCAACTCCTGACATTTTCAAAAGTCTAAATGCATTGTGTCTTGGGACTCCTTTGTAAAGGGGGTTTCCTGTGTGTAAGCAGTTGTTGGTACCACCTCTATTTGACTTCGGACTATCACCTCTCTGTTCCAAGTGGAACAAGTTTTGCTGGCTTTGCAGAGTCCTTAGCAGCTCTCACATATCCTTAGGGAGTCCATATTCCATCTGGCAAAACTATCATTGTAATTTGTCAAAGCAGAAGAATTGTGCCCCCAAAGCACGTGTTCTAAAGATCTAGTAGTGTTTGCACAGCTTTCTGAGCATAAGCACATTCAAAAGCCTTCAGTGAGTGAATGATCAGCTGGGTCTGGGATACAGAGGAGTTTCTGCTGTTATACCTTAGGAGAATTCATTAGAATGTTAAAGGTGGGACTCTTGCTATGCCAGAAAGATGTTCTGTGATTAGCATTAGTGCAGTCGCTACAGCCTGTCTTAACCTGGGCGGGAATCTGCACTGATAAAGCAGGGGTCAAAGAACCTGATCTGCATCGTTAATGGGATGCTTTTCTTTGTAATAACCGCCTCAAAGGAGCAGCCAAAAGAGGTAACACAAAATGCTGAGTCAACACTGCTCTGTGCACTTCCATGCACTTCATAGAACCTGGTAAGCTGACATCTTTCCAGAGTGGAAAATACAAGGACTCTCTCAAATATCGCATCTGAGAATGCACAGGGAGCAACCCTGTGTCACTAACATCAGTGTCACCTTCAGAGCCAGGCAAGGCCCCAAGGCCCATGTTAGTTCTTTTTATTTATTTATTTATTTTTTACAGGCAGAGTAGACAGAGAGAGAGAGAGACAGAGAGAAAGGTCTTCCTTTTGCCATTGGTTCACCCTCCAATGGCCGCCGCGGCCGGCGCGCCGCAGCCGGCGCATCGCGTTGATCCGATGGCAGGAGCCAGGTGCTTCTCCTGGTCTCCCATGGGGTGCAGGGCCCAAGCACTTGGGCCATCCTCCACTGCACTCCTGGGCCACAGCAGAGAGCTGGCCTGGAAGAGGGGCAACCGGGACAGAATCCGGTGCTCCGACCGGGACTAGAACCCGGTGTGCTGGCGCCGGAAGGCAGAGGATTAGCCTAGTGAGCCGCGGCGCTGGCCCCATGTTAGTTCTTACTATGCCATGGACAGATACTCAGAGCCTTGGGCAGTTCTCCAAGTCTACAAACCCTCATCTGCAAAATACCCCAGCTTCATGGGATTATACACACCCACATTTAGCAGTTAATATTCAGATTCAATACGCTTGCCATAAATACTGCTGATTGTTCACTATATATAATTAAAAATATACAATAAAAATTTAAAAATCACATGCCAGAGGAAGACATAAAATAGAGTTAAAAGATAGTTTTCCAGCAAAGCCAAACCGAGTGGGGAATTCATTCGGTATTTCTGTCCATTGTCTCAGCCATGCCATTGTCCAGATGCCCCTGCCACTGCCTCCTCCTGGCTGTACTCCCATTGTAGAAGCCCCTTCAGCTTCACAGTGCCCTACCCTTAATACTGCCTTAGATACCAAAAGATAAATTAGTCACCCAGGATCCAGAGGTAGCTCCAGATGTTATTTTTGTTTTCTTGGAAATACACACACACACACACCCCTACACACACACCCCTACACACACATGCCTTTTGGGTAGATAGTTGTCCATCCTTTCCTTTATACATAACACTTTAAAAAGAAAAACAGAAACTCTTTCAGGAAAATGCCAAGGTAATGTCCATGGCAGGACTGACATTCCTACTTACAGGGATTTCTCAGTCTCTTTATGCAACTTCTCAAAACTAAAGAGCATGCAGCTAGCAAGTAACAAAGGCTCTACCTCCGGCTCATTATTTCCTGTTAGCCACTGGATGGTGATAAGAACTCTTGGGCTTAAGATTATGTGACTCCCCTCCAAGACTACAAATAATTGTTCTTTATATTTGTGGAAAGGTCTTCTCCCTATAACTGCTGCATAGGCAGAGGGGATTCAGAGCTGCCTGGGAGTCCTAGAAGAAACCCTACTGCAAAAACTCTGTTCGTTGCTTACTTCATTGCACAGGATTCTATCCATAGTGAACAGAATTATCTACCATTGAATAGTGACTTATATTTTCATGCAAAGATGATATATTAGTTAAATTAAATGGTCAAGGAGGAGAACCGATCAAATTTATTTCATAAAGTTGTCATGTTAGGTCATGTGCATGCAAGGAACATAACAGATCACACCTACTGATGCACTTCCAAGTCTAGAAATAGTATAGTTCTTATCTCCCTTCCTGTAGCAGTCGGCTGGAGCTGCCTTGACAGAAGAATCCTAGACTGTGTGGCTTGAATTGGAACTTACTTTCCAGTTCTGGAGGCAGGGAATTCCAAGATTAAGGTGCCCGTCGACTTTTTTTTCCTGATGGGGGCCCACTTCTGGGAGTGCAGAGAGCTATCTTTTCACTGTGCCCTTCCAAGATAGGGAGACAGAGTTTTCTGGTATCTCTTTGGATAAGGCCACTCATTTCAGAGTCAGAATCCTACACTTATGAGCTCATCTAACCTTATGACCTCCTTTCACCCTGTCTCTACTGTCACATTGCAGGATCAGGGCATCAGCAGAGGAATTTGAAGAGGCCACAATTCAGTCCACAGCACTCCCCGCACCCCAGAGAGATAATAATCTCCCTGAATCTGATCCCCTATTCTGGTAGGGAATAAGCTGAACCATCAGCTGGCCCAGCTGGTCATTAAGAGACAGTGAGAGGATTCAAAGCCAGGAGTCTCTCAGCTAAAGTTAATGTGCCATTTGGTCAATATTAGCTAGTATCCAAAATAGAATTCTTGGTCTAGGGGATCCACCATGCTTGGGGAAATAAACAATGTTGAATTAATCTATATGTAATGTAGAATGGAAATCCAAGGCTCTGAAAGAGGAGTGGAGACAGGGAATGGTGCCATAGTACAGGGCTAGCAGGCAAACAGCAAGTGATCCAGATGCATTCCCAAGTCTAGGCAATGCTTTCGGCTGCCAGGACAGTCCACAGGTCCACGTTTCTGTCTGCGAGAGCAGCTCCCACACAACAGATGCAAGCAAATAGACTGCGGTCGCTTTCATTGTGAAAGCAAGCCTCATATCCAAAGGCCATTCCATGGACTCCTCGTCACAGCATCTTAGGGAACTAAGAGGATGCGCATGTAGAACAGAAGGATCCTCCTGGATTCTCTGAGCAGACAGTGTGGTTAGCATGTGAGGGACACAGCACTCCAGAGCTGGTGCAAAATAAGTTTGGAACTCCATTAAGATGTAAACAATGGCCTTGAAGGATAACCATCGACAGGAAGAGGGCAGCAAATTTATCTTGACAAAATGATATTCCCACAGCATCCCCTCCATTTTTACAGTGTAACATTTAGCTTTCACCAAATTACAAGAATCCCAAGAGAGGGACTAATTTCAGAGAAAAATAAGTTTTTTTTAATTACATAGTTCCCGTCCTTTCAACTCACTCTTTGCTATCTTAATGGTTTAATAAATGTGTTTCTACAGGAATAATTAAATCACTTCAGAAATTTCTGGATAGTGTATTTTTCCTCATTTAGGTTTTCCCTCCAGTGTTCTGTATGCATTTTTAACGTGGCTGTCTTTCATACAAATATCAGTGGAGGGCTTTCATACTTCAACCCTGCCTAAAATTTGTCAGTGCCATCTATGAAAGTTAAAAGTGCTACCTTGGTGATTAATCAAATTTGCTCTAAATGGGATTAATTCGGGTGTAAGTATGAGGAAGATTGTCAGGGTGCATGTCCCTCTTGTCGTCTGTCCCTAGGACTTTTTTTTTCTCCCTGGCTGAATTGAAAATGAAGCTGAGCTATAATCTTGCTTGGCAGATACTGGATCCTTCCTTTGATAAACATCTAAAATGCTAATGAGTATGGGCTGCAGTTCTGAAAGAGCAAGCACAGGATTTGACAAGAATCTGGAGGGTAAAAAAGGCAGAACTTTCTGACTTAAAAGAACTCTTTTTGTTCACCTTCAGTATTGTTTCCTGGAGAAAAAATTTTGCTCCACAGAAAAACAGAAAAAATCCTGCTACATCAAAATGCGGAAGCGTGAAAAACTGATGAGCTTTCAGATTGTCCTCTTTTGCATGCAAATCATATCAGAAGTTCTCATTAGCATAAATGCATGAGCAACTCTAAATGCTTTTAATTTCCAATCTCAGCCAGCAGAGGAGTAATTTGTCACTGTCAGGGTGAAAATCTAAAAAAGAAAAAAAGGGAGAGAGAAGGACTCCATGCTAAATTGGAATCATATAAATTTTTGATTTGCTAATTGACTGATGCTGCAGTTCAATCAGCTGCCTTGAAGGTGTAAATAATTCAATGTACAGTCAGAAATAAAAGCATAATGCGCCTTCACTGAAGGCGTATTAGTATTCCCTGCAGCAGGACATACCTGCCCATGTCTTTTCCCTCTTTAGTCAAATTATAAGTCTTCTGCAAGCAACTGCACTCACAGAAACTAATAAAAACATCACTCCCATACCCCAAGTTTTGCAAGTAGGAGACGTTAGGAGCAGGGAAGCAGAACTCAGCAATTTTTAACTGTGAGCATCCCAGCAGGCTACAACCAGGCCCTTGCGAACACCTTCATGTGCTGGCTCACGGACGTGATCATAAAGAACAGAAAGTGCCAAGATAAAAATCGTACTCCGACTCCTGCTCACTTCCAATCCTTCCTTTCCCCAATCAACAGCTTTAAATGTCATATGTAAAATGTATTTACTGCGAAAATATCTCCTTAGGGCAGGCATGATATGGATATTTTAAAAGCTGTTACCCATGGTTTATTTTTATCATGTAGCTGTATAATCTTAATATCTTTACCTTGAAACATTTTAATTTGGATGGTATAAAAGTTAGTTTATAAATATTTTAAGAAATGCTGCTTCATTCAAATTTCAATGGAATAAATGTGACTAAAGTTCCAACTTATTGGAACTGTATTTTCTCATAGGTATTTTACTTGGTAATAATCTTAAACAAGAAAAGCAAAGAGAGATGCTGAAGCCATTCTCCAGTACCTTCACTATGAAAATGCTAACGTGAAAATGCTAATGCCCTGTGAAAACTGCAAACAGAGATTAATTTTAGATGGATTAACAAATTACAGTAGATATACCCAGGAACCTCAAAGTTTATGGAAAGTAGAATTAAAAGATAAATTTGGGGCCAGCACTGTGGTTCAGTAGGTTAAAGCCATGGCCTGTAGCGCCACAGCCCAGATGGGTGCCAGTTTCAGTCCCGGCTGCACCACTTCCGATGCAGCTTCCAACTAATGTACCTGGGAAAGCAGCAGAGGATGGCCCAAGTGGTTGAGCCCCTGCACCAACACAGGAGACCTGGAAGAAGCTCCTGGCTCCTGGGTTGGCCTGGCCTAACCCTGGTCATTGTGGCCATGTGGGGTAGTGAATGACAAGATGGAAGATCTCACTCTCTCTCCTTCTATCTCTACAATTTTGCTTCTCAAATAAACAAATGTTTAAAAAAGGATAAATTTATTTTGGCATAAACAATTTGAAAGCTGGGGCCAGCACTGTGGTGTGGCAGGTAAAGACACTGCCAGCAGCTCTGGCATCCCATATGGGCACTAGTTTAAGTCCCGGCTGCTCCATTTCCAATCTAGCTCCCTAGTGATGGCCTGGGAAAGCAGTAGAGGACGGCCCAAATCCTTGGGTCCCTGCACACATGTGGAAAACTCAGAAGAAGCTCCTGGCTTCTAGCTTGGGATTGGCCAAGCTCAGGCAATTGTGGCCTTTTGGGGAATGAACCAGCAGATGGACAACCTCTCTCTCACATCTCACCTCTCTCTCCCTGTAACTCTTTCAAATAAATAAACAGACATTTAAAGAAAAATTTGAAATCACCATACTTTTTTCATAAATACATTTCCATGAACTTTTTTAAGGCCCTCTCATATGTATGATTTTCAAAACTTTTTGACCAAAATAAACATCTTTTAATTCCATTTTCCATGAAGCTTTTGTTGTAACAACATATGTGCCAACATTCAAGTAAGTTAAATTTTAACTATTTTTCAGTTATAGGATAATGGCCCTAATTAATGTATGCCTTAAAAATCTATAATACACAGCACTAGCTATTAGAAAACTGCCCTGTATATATTGACTAGCATTCTTAGAAGGAAGTTGACTCCAAAGCCAAGCTCTGTAAACAGAATTCAGCAATTACTGTATAACTTTTTTTAAAAAAAAATAGCTTCTCTTTCCCTAGCCTTACTTGTCACAAGGCCAAATGCCAGCTTCTAACTCAAATCTTTCTTCTCAAAGCTGATTCATCAACCATCCTTACAAATATTACAGGGCTGTTCAAGAAGTTCCAGGAAGATCAAAGCAATCCCATACAAGGCAAACAAGTCTTACGTGCCATGTGTGATGGGCTGTTTATTTTTTAAATTTGCCCTTCCCTTCATTGCCTCTTCTTATTCTTTGTTATAGCTTTTAGAAAAGATAAAAGATTAGTACAATAGAATAAGAACAACACTTGCAAGTCTCAGCTTTGGAATTTTAAGGGTCAATTCTCAAGAACATAGATGTCAAAATCTTTAGCCTCCTTCTGTCTTAAAGTTATGTCAGAAATAACTATCTTGAATGAGCATACGATCAATAGTCAGCATGCCTCAGACCAGATGAAATAACTAGAAACTCAGAGAGGAAAGGGAATCGGACAAAAAGCAGTGAAGGAATGAATTTGAATATATAGGTATGTGTCGACCCCATGCTTTACCTTGTTCATTCGGCCCATTTCTTAGCTCCAGGAAAGGAACCAGGGTGCCCAGGGAAGACCCACCTTCTCCATAGGGGATGCTGCCAAGCCCCAGAGTCAGGTGTGGGATCAAGAGCACAGAGAACCTCTGCAACCTTCTCCAAGAGAGCTGAGCCCCTTGTAGAGTCTGCCCAGGATGCAGTGAGAACAGCCTGGCATCAACACTGTCAGCCCCAAGTGTTTATTGAGCAAGTTCCATGTGGCAACTCAAGATGCGCCAAAGGGCTGGTCCAATGGCTCCCTTTCCCTCTTCCTCCAGCCCACTGCTCCTGGTCCTTAAGAGCAGCTTCTCTCTCTTGATGAGCCTTCTTTGAGCAACTGCTTGCCAAGCTAGCTCACCCCATTTTGCTAAAGCTATAGTTATACCAGTGCCTTCCTCCCCAAAGCAGGACAGTCTTCCAGCGCCTCCTCTCCTGGTACATTCTGAATAAAGGCTCATGCTATCGGGCCCACTTAATTTTTTTCTGCCCTGGCCCAACTGCTCTGTGCTTGATTTTATTTGTCAAAAAACTCAGGGAAGTGAGTACTATTAGTATCATTTTAGAGAAGAGGAAATGCTGGCATGAAAAAATTCCTTGGAGGGGCTGGCACTGTAGCACAGCAAGCTAAGCTGCCTCCTGTAGTGCCGGCATCCCAAATGGGTGCTGGTTCATGTCTCGGCCACTCCTCTTCGGATACAGCTCCCTGCTAATAAATCTGGGGAAGCAGCAAAAGATGGCTCAAGTGCTTGGGCTCCTATATCCATGAGGGAGGCCAGGATGAAGCCCCTGTCTCCTGGCTTTGGCCTGGCCCAGCCCTGGCCATTGTGGTCATCTGGGTAGTGAACCAGAGAATGGAAAATCCCTGTCTACCCTTGTCTCTGTAATTCTGACTTACAAATAAATAAATAAATATTTTTTTTAAATACCTTGAAGGTCATTCCCAGGACATATGGTATGCAGAGAAATACATGACCATGGAAATCCAATGTGCAGCTTCCCAGTCTCATTGCTGTTAACAGTTTGGGGAATGGTTCTATGTTGAGGAGTAGGGGCCATGTACTGAAATGGAGAAATTGGCATTCCCTTTTCACATAATTTTAACATTTTTATTTCACCTTTTAAAAAACTTTTTTTGAAAGAGACAGACGGATGGACAGAGCTCCCATCCACTGGTTCAGCCATCAGATGCCTGCAAAAGTCAATACTGGGCTGGGCCAAAACTATAAGCCAGAAACTCAATCCAGGTCTCCCTGTGGGTGGCAGAGACCCAACTGCTTGAGCCATTATCACTGTCTCCCAGGGTCTGCAATTGCAGGAAGTTGGAGTTGTGATCTCGAACCCAGGTGCTCTAATGTG